TTCCTCTTATTTTGAGTTACACATTTTATTTCTATACATAAACCACTACAAACACGTAATAAAAATGACTACTTTTTGTCTTTAGGTTGTATGATGTTATTTTGGCAAACATCTCTCTCTTTTTTTTTAAGTATCATATTAATGACAGCACAGACATGATAAACAAGCCTCTGGACAATGTAACAAACAGAAGACTCAAAAACCACATGCTCTTTTATTTCACACTATGTTGAATTGCCTCATCTAGCATATTCATTCCAAGTATTTAATAGAATGCAAATTCATACAAATAGCGTTGGGTAAAATCTGCTGTGTTGAATGCTTCTAGGCTTCTCTTGGATGCCACTGCCACTTCCTTAAACAGTAGTTTTACAAATAGAAAAAGAATAAGAGCAAAAATACATGTCTGGAATTTACCTTCTGTACAAAAAAGGGGCTGATTTGCCTTCATTTTATATAATAAATGTTTTTACAAATAAAGAAATAGAACACAAGTGCTGTTAGGATTCTAGAAGGCTAATTTTGGAACTATCTTGGTATCAAGAATTAGTGTGACTTGTTATTATAACAGAGACCCTGAGACAGCATAATTACTTTTTAAAGCAAAAAATTTTTTAAAAATTCATGAAAATACAACTGCTTTATGTTCTCTTCTGTGAATAAAATTATCCAAATTCTCTAATAACATTCCTTTTGCATTAATGAAACCAAGGACTCCACTCAGCAAATATGAAGCGGAAATTCTTAGAAAAGACAAGTCACAGTCTAAGCAATAAGTGCCCCTCTAAAGCTAAAAATTTGGTAGGATAGAAGGAAAGCAAACCTGAACTCTTAAAATTTAAAGAATAATTCTAATAAAGATTCCAACCACCCCAGCCTTGGATTTTACAATTTCATTGACATTTATCTTTTAAGGGAACTCGTAGCTTACGTAAAACACTTCTGTCTTATTTTTAATTTGCATAGAATTAGGCACAATTTAAATGTATTACTCTTTTTAAATGTTCCTTATTATGTGTACTATTTCCAAATAATTTTCTCTTTACTATGAAATAAGTATTAATATCCCCATTTTATAAAAGAGGAATTAAGATACAGACAAGTGAAGTGACTTAGGGAGTCAGAATGGATAAAGAACAAAGATGGGACTTAGAGACAAAAGGATCCGGAATTAAATATAACTATCCGCTAATTTTGAGCAAGTCCCTTCATCTGAACCTGTCTCTCATTTGTGTAATGAGGATAATATCGCCTACCTCTCAAATGGTTGATATAAGGTATAAGCAAAGCACCTAGCAGACAGTCTTACACAGAGTTAGCCATGTGAGAAACATCAGCTCTGCCACCAACCCACAATCCCATTTTCTTCAGCTGGTACAAGGGATACAATGTTGTTGTGAGGTACGAGAGATAATACAACACAGGTAGAGTGCCTGACAAGTACAGGGCTTAATACATTTGTTCTCTCCCTTAATATTCCTTCCCTTATTCTTACCTAGATCCCACAGTTAATAAGTGGCTGAGCCACAGTCAAATCCAAACCTTAGCTCCACTATAGAATTTCCTCTGCACACACACACACATTTTATTAATGGTAGTACCTTACTTAACTTCAAAAACTAATTTAACCTAGCTGTTTAATCAGTAGTTATTTCAATATGTTCCCAGTAAAATCAAATTCATTTCTAAGGTAGCTCTACTTTTCAATAATCACAAAAGTGATTAATATTTCTGACTTAAAGTATGTATTTTTAACATATTTCTACTGGCATTTATAAAACATACATGATTAATATTTTATAAACTGTTATAAGCCAAAATATAGTTAAAAATCTATTCCTTAGGATTTTATGTACCTCAGCATTTATACGACTTAATTCATTATGCTGAACTCAAAGATACTAGGTAGCTTTTTCATTTTTCCTATTTTTCTCTCAAATAAAATAACAAAGTAAGGGAGTAAATGTGGTAAATAAATATAGATATACATAAAATGAAACAGATGTGTGAAAAATATGGACCAGATCTGCATTTATGAGACAATGACCTTCAAAACTGGCAGGGAGCTATTAACAATGTTCTTCACAGGGGAGCAATTATACGCGTACTACAACCCTCCTATGTGTACGTACTTTCATTTCTCATGGTCTACAAACACATTTGCATATCACAAAGAATAAAAGAATAGTCTGGTAACTTTGGCAACCTTCACTGAGAGGATATAAGGCATTTTGATCACCTTAATAATCACATCCTAAGTGCCAGATCAGTATGACTGCTGCAATATGAAAGGACAGACCAATACTTCTGACAGAATTTCCTACAAATGTGGCTATTACAACTCTAACCCTGTGATACATTTCTGATTCTGTACTACTCTAAGTGGTCTCTAATTATGTCAAGAAGCACTGAAATCTTTCTAAAATACAGACTTTATTTAAACAAAAAATATGGCATGTAATACTTTAAGAAAAAAGAGTTCAAATTGTCACCAGATTTAAATATACAATACTGCAATTCCTAAAATGTTGGGAATATTGCTTTAACCTAGTAAGTGGCTCACAGTTTCTTTCAATACTGATTTAAAAGACCCCAAGCCCAGTATTTTACAAATAAGCATACACACAGACACACACATAGAAATGCATAGGAAAAGTTTCTAAGAAAAGCTCAATGTCTAAATGCTCAGACAAGCTATATAAATAAAATGCTAATTTCACATAAGATACTGTCTTTTCTTACATTTCCTCATATAGGTAAAAGCAAAAGCAATTCACAATAATGGGGCCCCAAAATAACAATATTACATATACTTTAGAATTCCTGTGTTTTTTTAGACTTAATGCAAGAACCACAATGCACAATCATTAACATGTCTAGACAGTGGACACTCACTATTGTATGGTCATATTTCACTAAGCTTAATTTTTAAATTTATTTCCAATTTTTCTAAATTTTTATAACACTGAATTATAATAATGTAAAGTAAGACCATCAGGAAAATAAACACAACCATATAGTAAGCATAATTCCAGGAAGTCCTGCTTAACTTAAAAACAGTATTTTTTCAATGGTAATAAAACTACCCACAACTGTAATACCAATCAACAAACTTTAAAGTTTCCACTAACTGGGAAAAAAAAAAACAGTTGCCTTATTGTAATACCTTAAAACCATAAATTTACCACTAGCAAAATGGAGAGGTGAATTGTGTTTCATTTTTACTTTACACTTTGGCATAAGTTAATGATCTGTCCTAGAAATTTTATTTCACCGCATGTATACCCCAAAAGTATTTTTAGGACTCATGAAGTCTAAATCTTGTACTGCCCTTGATATTCTATTGTGTAAATGTTTTAAATTTTAAAACAAAAAGATAAATACTTTAAAAGCTCTATACAGTGTATTCACATGGTGAAAATGTCAACTCCATGTTTTCTCCTCCCCCACTAAAAAGCAAAAAAACTGTATGTGACACATAAAGATACAATAGAAACAAAAAATAACGTGCCACTTATTCAGTAAGGAAAGAAATACATAACATCTCTATCATATTCAACTACAACAACCCTTTCACTTGACGGCTAGCATCTTTATGACTGTTTAATCTGTACTTAGGTGGCCTTAAAAAGAGATTTTGTTCTCTTTCTCTACCCTCACGGATCTTTGGCAGCAGTCATCACTTATGCCCAGAGCTGGTTTTAGTGGGGGGCGGGGGAAGGGTAGTGAGAGAAGGCTGAACTGAGCACGCAGTCAGCAGAGGCAGCTGCTCTCATACACTACCCAGCGTCTTTCTCCCACACCGCTATTTTCCGCTATTGAGCACTGTCAGCAATAAGTAAATTAATTAAATAAATAAACTAACTAAAATAAATAAGGTGGGCGCAGGGAGACAAAGAGGGTAGGACCCAAGGCAGACAGTTTTTGTCCCCCACATCTGAGGCGAGAAGCCCTCTCTGATTGCTTGCTGCAAATAGGGATCAGGTGAGACCCCTCTGGGTCCAACTCAATTTGCTTCTCCAGAAAGAACAGTTTCCGCCAGAGAGAGCAGGATCCACCCGGCTGCTGAACTACACACCGGAGCATTGTCAATGTTTTTTGTTTTTTATCTTTGACTTTACAAAGGAGGAGGGAGGGCTGTGACTGCGTTCCTGGGAAAGACTACTACTCGTTACGTGCCACACAGCAGTAGTGAAGGAACATATGCCAGGGGTTGTAAAAACCCCTTCAAAAATACCAGGTTGTGTAGAAATGCTGTGCAGCATTATCGTATTGTTGGCGTTCTTTGTAAGTCACTGATTCTTTCTCGCCACCGTCAACCCTCAAATAGCTGGGACTTGTTGCCAAATCTTCACCTCACGCCCCCCAGAACTGCCCAACAGAATAAGATTTGGGGAGCGAACAGCGGGAGGGGGACTAGACCTTTAACACCCAGAGGGCTGGATGGGTTCCCTTCCATAGGCCACTCTGCATGGGCTGCGCGTTCAGTTCTACCTTCGGAAAGCTCTGACTCAGAAATGCTGGGCGGGAGGGGGGGCGGTGAATTATGACACAGACCATTATCCTTCCAACCAAAGAGAGATAAGAAAAGCCTGCTGGCCGTCCTTAACGGGCCAGAGAACCAAAGCTTGCGTCCCCCGACGGGGCGGCCGGGGAAGGAGCCTCCAGCCCTGCCAGCCTCCCTCCGGACGCCCGCGGAAGATGCTCCCAACCTGGGCTGGCTCCGGAAGCCAGGATGGAGTACCCTTACCCCGGGAGAGAGCAGGGAATAAGTTGGGGGTCCAGGACGCAGGGACTTTCCCCATGGAGGCGCCAAGCGCCCAGTGCCCGGGCCCGGACAGGGGCTCCAGCAGAGGCGCCCTGCAACCCGGCCGTCCTCCGCAACCAGGGGCAGACAAAGCTTCGGGGTGGGGAAGCCACTCTGAGGTAGCAGTCGCGGGCCAAGTTGGCCAGACTCGGGTGACGCGGGGGTCCCGCCGGCAGGGCGGCGCGGCACTGACCTGGATGGTGCAGGTGTACTCGCTGTCGTCCAGTAGCCGCACGGTGCAGCTGTACTCGCGCTCCAGGCTCCTGCTGCTGCCGCTCATCAACCTGCTCAGCATCTTCCCGCCCGCCCGCCCCCGGGAGAGACGCCGCGGTGCTGCGGACCCCGGAGGAGGCGCCACTCAGCCCGGCAGCTCCGCGCCGAACCCGGGCACCTGCACCATCACCACAGCCGGGTTGCCGCCGCTGCCTCCTGCTGGCCCCGCTCCTCCTTCTCCTCTTTCTCCTCCTTCTCCACCACCGCCTCCCCCAGCCCAGAGCAAACGCCGCACTCTATCTCCTAGGCGCCCCAATGCTGGTGCCCAGCTCGTGGGGCGGGGCCTCGACCGGAGGAGGTCCAATGGGAATCAGCGCGGCGGAACTGAGTGGCAGACAGTACAGCCAGTAGATATAGTGGGTTGGAATGATGGACAAGTTGGGAAAGCAATCACGGGAGAGCAGTCGGAAAGAGCCAAACTGGACCAGCCCTCTGGCGTCTGGAACTGGGGTCTCTTTTGCTCCGCCGTTTCTGCAAATGCTATTTCTCCTCCCTTGAGCAGGTGTGGGCACTCGGCTGGATCCTCGCCTGCTGTTTGGAATATATTGGGCTGTGCTTCAGAGGCCAAGTCTTATACTCTGCAACGCCACGGTTCCCGCCCTCTCTCTAGCTGGGGAGGTGCTAGATCACAATCCCCGCACCTGCAGAATGCAGGCACCTTCCGCTCTGGACCAGAAAGCTGCCCCCACCTGCACTCCATCCCAAGTCACCCCGACCAACCTCTCTGCCCTAGCCCTCTTATTTTGGAGAACAACTGTTTACAGAAATTATTTAAGTAAAAGCTGGATGGTTCGCAGAGGTTTTTAAGCACCCAGGTTTAATCCCTAGAAAACCCTTCACTCTTAACAACCTTTGCCTCCTTCCTTTTATTTTCAGAAGACAAAAGGAGAGTGAAGCGTCGGCAGGGAGAGTCAGCAGGGAGCACAGGAAGTGATAGATCAATTCCCTGCACCTTTAAAACTAGAATTATGTCTTCAGACTTCAACAAAACACAAAGAAAAAAATCATCTGCCCTCTGTGATCCCACATCTAAACACCTCATAATATTTACGAAAACTTCACTAAGAGATAATATTCTCCGTCAAAAAATTTTGATGGAAGGAAATGCTGTAAAAGAATTATCAACACAGGACATTAATGTTATGATAAATGTTAAGTTAAACATAATGAAATATGCATAATTTCCTATTTTTATTTAAACTGTTCTTGTTTATTTACACACATAACAAACATGAAACCCTACAATGCCCTAAAAATGTACAACCTCTAAAGTATGCTTTTTCCCTAGTATCTTTGGATTCAGTATTTCTCCCAATTTATTTGCTTAGGACACTCCTCTCACCCTTTCTGTTATCATGTCAGTAAACTGGATTGCTTTTTAAATTACTTGCATTCTTCCAGTAGCCTTCAATAGCCATAAGAGGGGTTCCTCTTGTCAATAGAATCCTGGAACCTAGAGCCAGTGAGTCAAATATTCTAACCATAAAACTAAGTGCGAGCTCTTCTACTCTGTAACCCTAGCAGGCAGCCTGATGCCTAAAAAAATTGGAATCCAATAAATGTTTGTTCAATAAAGTAAATGGAATTGATAATTATTTTACAGTATCTAAATCCCAGGGGAAGATCAGTTAAAAAAAAACACTAAGAGAATTTCAAGAAGATCCTAAAGATGAATGAAATTATTAATATGCCAAAGTGATATTGTACAAAGCTCAGCTTTGTTGTGTCACTGAGAGACGATAATGAGATTTCAGACAGGCAGAACTTTTGTTGAAGAAAAAGTGCTATTTGTTATAGAATCTATAAGAGCAAGAAAAAAATATCCCAGAAGCTAGAGGAAGACCAGAAGTGCGACGGTAGGGAAGTGTCTTTAACAGCTTATGCAAATAAGCAGCTGTTAGAATAAAAATGCAAGCAACATGAATTCAGAAAAACTCTAAGGAAGTGAATGCAATCTTTTTTTCAAAGTATGACCATAGATGCAATCAACAGGGATGAGACTAGCTGCTAAGCCAATGCATTAAGTAACATTACTGCTCAGCCTAAGAAAATCATGTTAGCTTAGATGTTCACCTCATTAAAAAAACATAGTAGATATTTATCCATATTTATGCATAATATCCATAAAAAGCTTCAAACTCTCCCTTACTCTCTGATACAGGACATTTTGTGAAGAAAACAGAGGATGCCCTGTCTGGTGTGGCTCAGTGGATTGAGTGCTGGCCTGCAAACCAAAGGATCTCTGCACCATCCAGGTACGTACCCTCACTGGGTTCAATTCCCAGTCAGGGTACATACCTGGACTGTGAGCCAGGTTCCCAGTCAGAGGTGCACAAGAGGCAACTGCACACTGATGTTTCTTTCCCTCTCTTTCTCCCTTCCCTTCTCTCTAAAAATAAATTAAATCTTCTTAGAAAAAAAGAAAACAGAGAGTAGACAAATAATGGAAGAAAAGTAAAAATCAATCAATTTCCGGTTATGTTAGAGTCGAGGAGGAAATAAGTTGTTTGTGCTAAGCTGTTTGCTCAACCCAAGACTGCTTGCTCAAGCCTGAGTAGAAACCGCCCCCGCCCCCAGGCAGGTGTTCCAGAGAGTTAGGAATTGGTCAAAACGTATAGAGGGCTTCCATGTGTCAGGAGTTGTTGTTAAGTGCTTCACACCTGAGTTCATTTATCGCTAACTATAAAAACCCTAGCCTGTAAGCGTTAGGTGCGACTCTCATTTGCAGCCATTTTGGCACCGTGTCTCCAGACACCCCGAGAGTTCGCCCCTGCGCAGGTAAAACTTTGAAACTTTGGCCAATAAAACATCTTTGACTGCCTGACGGTCTCTGACCCTTCTTGCTTGTGAGAGCGGAATGTAACAGTTACACATATTTCTCTACAAGGCTCAAGAGCAAAAAGCCTAAGGGCAACTAAAAAGAATGGGCTCATATCAATATCAAACTGAGCAATACTTTGTTTACCTTTGTTTTTCTCAAGTCTATGGAGCAGGATGCCCAAGATAGAAAGGGTTTGTTTAATAAAAGGCCTCTTGAGGGCGGGGTGGGTGGAAGAAGGCAAAGGGGAAAATAATTGGAACCACTAAAAAAAAATAAATAAATAAAAAACATTAAAAAAAGGCCTCTTGAAAATCAGTGTCATAGCTTTCATGAGTTTTTGAGTTAATGGAGCCCATATTTAAAATAAAAGTCCCAACTATTGTACAATGACTCAGAGCTCCTCCCTTCCAAATTATCAGGGTGTCAACTCCCTTTACAGTTTCCCTCACAGTACTTCTCCAGGGGAGGTACTGTCACCCACATATGCCTAAATAACTGAACTACCCCTAACTCTGCTTCAAATGTCTCATACCCTGATGTTTGGAGACCCCGAGCTCCCTCCAACCAGTACAACCTTCAGCATTGTGTTGAGATTTGGCGGGAAGAGGCACTTCCCTCTCTTCACCAGGACATCACAAACAAAGGCCCTTCCCCTCGAAATCTCCTCACAGCCCAACTAAGATCACCATGTTATATAACAATATTAGAAAGGAAAAATAATCCAGAGTACTCTGAGGGTATGATATGGCTGCTCTCAATACCCCTGTGAACTACACACAGGCCTGCCTCAGTGTCAACATCCATGTGGCTGAAGATAGCTACCCTCTCCATCAAGAATTCCTCTGACCGTGTCTTGGGCATCAGGCCCAACCATCTTCAAACTGAGAAGAAAACAACACTCCTCGCCCAGTTTAAGGTCCACTTTCAAAGTCCCACTTTCTGTCCCAGGCGCTGCCTATCCCTAGGAAAACTGACCATGGGAATATCTAGTCTTTTAGAAGAAACTCTACCCTACACACCCCAAGGATGTGACCTTGACCTTGGACCCAATCGGGCTATCACCTTAGAATATAACATCCAACATACACACATTTTCTCACAGTTATTCAGTCTTAGTTATTCAGTCTTTACATGAAGGTCCAAGTAGAACATCAACAAAATCAGTCCAACCCTTTGCCTAATTATTTCTCCAGTAAGCAGTGAGGATCATGGCTGTCTTTAATTTCCTGAATACATTAAATCTCAGCTTTTGTTCTCCTAAAAGCAAGGACTCAAACAAGGACATTCACATCTCCACAGAAACAATATATTGACACACACACAATCTAAACCTACAGAGAGCAGGAGCAGTTCTGTTAAGAAGCAATGCTCATGCTCCACATACAAAGATTTGCCTAGCCAAATGAAGGACTCTCCTTCTCAGTCTACAGCATCTACATTCAGGTTAACGGTTACTTTATAGTTTTCCAATAGAGTCCCAACAAGATGAACACAAAGAGGCTCACTCAAGATATATCATAATTAAAATGCCCAAGTTTAAAGATAAAGAGAGAATCTTAAAAGCAGCAAGAGAAAAGAAGTTAGTTACCTCCAGGGGAGTTTCCATAAGACTGTCAACCAATTTCTCAAAAGAAACTCTGCAAGCTGGAAGAGATCAGCAAGAAATATTCAAAGTCATGAAAAATGGGGACCTATAGCCAAGACTGCTCTACCGAACAAAGCTATCATTTAGAATCAAAGGGCAGATAAGGAGCTTCTCAGATGAGAAAAAACTAAAAGAGTTCATCATCACCAAACCATTATCATACAAAATGTTAAAGGGATTTATTTAAGAAGAAGATGATCAAAACAATGAAGAAAAATGGCAAAAAAAATATGTTTCTTTCAACAATTGAATCTGAAAAACAAACTAAGCAAACAAGAAAAACAAAGAATCATGAATGCAGAGAGTTTTGACAGTTGCCAGAAAGGAGGCAGGTTCAGGGGAAAGGGTGAAGAAGTGAGGGAATTAAGAACTACAAATCAGTAGTTACAGAATAGCACAGGGTCATGAAGTACAGCACAGGAAATCAAGTAGCCAAAGAACCTGTATGTATGACCAACGGACATGAACAAAGGTGGGGGGTGACCCAAGGGTGCTGGATGAGGGGTGCTGGATAGAGGGGGCAAAAGAGATAAAATTGGGACAACTGTAATAGCATAATCAATAAAATGTAATTTGAAAGATAAAAAACCAAAGAATGCTAATTACTTACATTTAAATTGGAGGATAATGTATGACTTTGGTGATAGAAGGTATAAATTATGGCAATATATTAAAAGTGGATTGTTCTAATTTCTGGATGGGTTAAAAGGGCTAACTAAAAGGGACTGGGAAAGTCACAGAAGGATCATGAAGAAA